TCGTTAAGTGTTATAAAGAGCTTACCACACGTGTATAAAAAAAATGATAAAAACTAAATTACTCAATTTGCAGTTAACAAGCTAAAAAAAAAAAGCCGACGAAATATATAAGAAGATAACGAAGATTCTGTGAGCACCACAAAAATTAAGGTTGATTACCTTTATTATTAAATAAAAAAAAATAATGGGGACAACAATGTAAAAACCAAAGAAATAATAACCTATACAATGTAAAGCCAAACTAAACTTTAATTAACTACAAAGGAATACCACGTAAACATCAAATTAATCTTACTAGAATATGAAATTGGCTGGCATACCAGATTAACCCATAAGATCTGTCGGGGTTTCTGGACCGACGGGGTAACTGGGCCATGGCATATTTCCCGCCACATCGTTCAAATTCTTTTATTTTACACAGTTGGCTAGGGTTAAGTAGAGCACTACCAACATAGAACAACACGCATAACCTAAAAATCAGTTAAATTTGGAATTTCATGATGGCAACAAATTTTGCTAATAAAAATCTAGTAACATCGTGCTGTAACTAGTGTTATTTTCAAGGATATCTACCTACAGGTAAGCAATGGAAGATATATATTATTTTTGGGGTAATATTTTTACTTTATTTCAAGAAACTACGTTCGTAAATAATTAATTACTTACAAGGATAAAAATGTGGAAGGGGTGGCCCAGTTACCCCATAAAAAGTTTGCAAACGGGGTATCTGGGTCATACGCTTGGGGTATTTGGGCCACCATGGTCCAGTCATTCCGCTTGCATGTTCTAAATTGAACGTGTTTAATGTTTCGCAGACATGGTGCGGAACTATGTGAGAAAGACGCAGAAGGGTGCCGGTACTACATATACCAGAGAAGACTTAGGAAAAGCTTTATCTGATGTTTGCAATGGCAACAAAACAACTCGTGGAGCAGCTACTCTTTATAACATACCACGATCAACATTAAAACATTATGTATTAGGGACTCGATGTAAAGGTAATACTTTTACGGGTGACAAAGGGGAAGGACGAGTATCTTCATATCTTTCAAAGGACGAAGAAGAAGAAATAGCAAATGGTTTGAAAGTATTAGAAAAAAATGGGTTCGGGTTCTGTCGCGAGGAAGTTATTGATATGGTTGAACTGTACATAAAGCAAAACAATATATCAACGAGATTTAAGGACAGTCGTCCCGGTCCTGACTGGTTTACGTCTTTCCGACGTCCTCGCATGCACTGTCCATCAAGAAACCTCAAATTATAGAGCACGTCAGATGTGATCAGGTTTGTTATATATTTAATACTGCCAAAGACTGATAAATCTATTTTAATCCTTGTGTTCAAGTTAATCCCTGGGTGATATATGATTATTTTAAGCTAAAATTAAATGGAAAACTTTCACAAATATTTAATTGTGATGAAACATCGTTTTGCCACGATCCCTCTAAAACAAAGATCGTTGGAGCAATTGGGGTAAAGAATCAACGAAAAACAAGTTCTTCAGGTAGAGAAAATACCACAGTTTTGCTGTTTTGTTCAGCCGATGGAAACAAATTACCTATCTTATGTGTATTTAAAGGTAAATATGTAATGGAGAATTGATTTAATGACGATGTGTCGCAAACGGCAATATCTGCTAGCGAACGGGGCTGGATGGAAACCACTCTTTTTTATAATTGGTTTAAAAATGTTTTTTTAAAACATATTGGCCCTGAAAGACCGGTCCTTTTAATTTACGATGGTCATGTTACACACGTGTCCACAAAATTAATTAAACTAGCACCAGAAAATGAGGTAACCATTATGAAATTGCCTCCTCATACCACACATGTACTCCAACCGCTTGATGTCGCAGTATTCAAAAGCTTTAAACCTAAATTGGACAAGGAACTATGTAAGTGGCAACGCCAAATCCTAGAAAAAATTCCCCAAAGCAGAATTTGTAGTAATACTTACTAAAGCTACACAAGAGATGCCGACTCAAAACATTGTTAATGGCTTTGCCACCACCGGTATATATGACCCAAATCTTAAAGGACCGAACAAAAATGCAATTTCGCAGAGTGTTTTTAAACCAGAAGACCTAAGACGTTATAAAAATAATCTTCCTCATCCCAATGCTTCAATAGATGTTAATCACAGTAGTGTAACAGATTCAGTAAAAGAAATCGCCATATCCAGTCCTGAAAATGTCCAGTTGGTCCCAGCAGTGGCTAGTACATCTAACAGTGCGTCACAGGGAATTGAAGTACTTAGTAGTGGGGTAGCAGATCCGGTTAAAGAAACCACTATATCAATGTCCGAAAATATCCAGCCAGACCCAGCAGTGGCTTGTACAAGTACAGCATCAAATTTTGTAATGGACCAAACAGCAGTGACAAGTATATCTAAAAATGCATCCCAGCAAAATAAAATGCGCAAGACATTTGAAGATGTCCTATTAGACGTCTTAAAAAAAGAATCGAAGCCACAACCCCAGGTCAAGAGGCGAAGAATAGTTACTAACTGCGAAATAATTACTTCTAATGAATATCTAAAAAAACAAGAACAGGAAGACAAGGAGAAAGAAGATGCTATACAAAGAAAAAAAGATGCCTCTTCTAAAAAAATAAAAAAGCAAAATAAAAAACCGGAAAAAATTATTGTCGATGAAGCTAGTGATACAACCGATAATTTTTCACTTCAAGAAAGCGACAATGACTCAAAATTTTGGTCTTTAGAAGATGAAGAGCCTATCAATGATAACTACTTTAATATAGGTGACTTCTGTATAGTTAAGGTTTATGTTTGGCTGCAGTTTTCAAGCTTTATGTGGCTAAAATTATCTCAAAACAAAAAGACGAATTTGTTGGAAGATTTTTTAAACGACACCCACAAACATGGAAATTCATAGAAACAGATGAAGAATCGTTAATTGCAAAAAGAGATATTATACGTAAATTGTCCAAGCCGATTAAAAGTAGTTTACCTCGTTATAAAGATATGATTGGCTTTAGCACTGATCTTTCAGACCTCACCGTCTTATGTTGAGTTTTTTCAGTAAAATATTAAATAAAAATACTTTCTTCGTTTTTTACCCTACTTTTGAAATATTTTTTTATTTATTTTTTTTTTTTTTTTGTTAGCGTACTTTTGTATAAATGTATGTATATGTTATTTCCTCAATAAATGGTCTTAGTTTTTCAACAGATGTTCTTTTATTCCTCGCTCAAGCAACACCTACCTTCATAACATTGCTAGTTAATAACAGAAAACATTATTCTAGCTAATGCTAGATATTTTTTATGAAATCTTTATTGGACCCTAAAATGGCCCAGATACCTCAGTTTATTATAAAGCAACAGCATACATAAAAATAGGTGCATGGTCCAGTTACCCCTTTCACTTGGGGTAAGTGGACCCCTAGCACAATTTAAAAAAAAAATAAAAAATGAAAAATTAAGAGAGATTATCTCATCTTGTACATATTTTTTGAAAAAGAAGCAATGTTAGACTTCACTGAAAAAATACGGAATTACTGAGCGGACGCGTTCCCTGTAATTTTTGATTTTAATCCACCAAAATCATGAGACATTGTAAAACCATGGCCCAGTAACCCCGACAGACCTTACATTCCTGCTAAAAAAGAAAATTCTCGGCAATGCCTTATATGTTTAGTCGAAATATCAGTAAAGCACCTACTAGTATTGCATGCCAGAAGAGTGAACTATGAACTTAATGAAAGTTTTAAAGTGATCGTTAAAATAAATGACCAAGAGAAATTAATTAAATATTTGAAATATATGTGAACACTATTTAGGTTTTGAAATTACTGTTCAACACACCACACCATTATTAGTTTGTACTACCTATTTTGTATCTTTATTTTCTACTTTTGTACCAACGACAAAAAAGTACTTGACTAATCCATTCAATTTTTATTGCAAGTATTCAGATAGTGTTTTATGTAGGCAGACAGTTGCTGCATTAGAAAGGGCGAAACGCATGTTAACTTGAGTGAGGATGATTTGTGAGAGCACGTGTTTTATGAATGAAATTGATCGTGTATTTATGATTCTTGCTGTACAACGTTGTTACTGGAAAAACATTGTACTTTTCTTTAAATCAACTTCAGCTACAATAATCGGTGCAACCAGAAAATAAACATGAATTATGCAAATATACTTCCTTAATGTTATTTTCAAAGCCTTTGTGTGTTTAGAGCAACTTTAATTTTTGTAAACAAAATTGGTCTAGTAGTGACTATACTTTTTCTTCGTTGGTATGTACATACTGAATACCGCAAATCGCAAACCGCAAATGGTCGAAGTGAAAAATATTATTATTAAAAAAAAAAAAGCCAATCTAGTCTTGCATTACTCGATTGCAAACGATTGTAATTTTTTTATTCTCTTGAGAAAAGATGGAAAATAATGCACTTTCAATATACTAATTTGTCTGGTAAAGTTAAGTTATTTTCATCAATTTTATTGAACTTTCAGATGTTTTACTGGTTGAACTATTTATATTTATATAATTAATAAAAAAATATAAATAATACTTCAGTTTTTCATCTTCTGATAAAAAAAATAATAAAATGCATTATTGCCGTCTAGGAAAAATGCGAATACATACTCAAAATTAACAGTGGTACCTATTAAAAAACACTTGAAAGAACCAATAAATTCCGTCTTAAAAATACGCATGTTTTTTCTTATTTGACTCCATAGTGTTTAATTAAAATTTCGCCACTCTGCTTATCGATTTGTGATCGTTAATTTTGAGGGTATTGAACAAACAATTCGTTTATGAAGGTAAACATACAGATCAATATTTAAGAGCACCAAAAACCCATTTACAACACATTTACAAAACTGAAGTACTTTTCAAAATGTGATTTATATTTAATCGTCTTATAATGTCGTGTCAGAACAGCGACTGGGATGATTCCTATCTATTCCTAATAATTTTGTAGTTTATCATTTTTCACCTATATTTATATTTCATATATTACTTTCAAGGGCAAATTTCCCACTAGAGAAGGTCCATTGATATTGGGACACGAATTTTCCGGAACAGTTGTGGAGTTAGGGGAAAATGTAACGACATTTAAAAAGGGAGATAAAATTGCGGTAGATCCAAATAAGTAAGTTTTCTAAATTCTATTACTGAATATATGGTTTTGCATTTTTTTTAGTTTTACTTCATTTTTAGTTCATGTAGATCCTGTCAAAGCTGTCATTTAGGAAAACCACATTTTTGCACTGGCACCAACAATAATATCGGAACATTTGCAGACGGCGGTTTTTCTGAATACGTCGTCGTACCTGGACATATGGTCCACAAATTACCAGAAGTAGTAAATCTCAAACAAGGTAAGAAAAATATCAGAACTATTTAGAAGCAACCAATCATTAAGAACGCTCCGGCATTGGCTGGGGCGTGGCCTATATACCGCCAAATTCAAAATTCTCATTTATGTAGGTATACGGAATTTTTTTTAAGGAAATATTTTTAGGTAGGTTTTGTGATATATTCAAATATTTTAAATTTTAGATGAAAAAAAAGCTACATTGCATACATAAAGTAAATTATATAGTGCGTTCATAAAAGGTGGAAACGAGCCATTATCTTAAGAGTTAATTATTAAAGACCTAAAACTCTGATAGGTCAATTTTTTAGTGTAGTTATTTTTTGTTGTTTCAAAAAATAAGTATTACTTCTACTACCTTGCATACGACCTCCGAAAATATTATCTAATTTGATACTTATTACCGAAGTTATTTTTTATATGCCTATATTTTTAAATAAACAAAACCAATAAGAGGGAAAATAAAAACGAACACAATAGAGCATAATATATATGTTTACTAGGTTTATTTAAAACATTTAAATGCAAATGTATTAAAACTAATAATGAGCTGTTTATTTTGAAAGTGGCCTAACTCCATTTATACTTAAATTGAAATATTTAAGGGTTTGTGTAAATTTTGTTAAACTGCATTAATTAAACGTACTAATTATTCAACTAATACAATTGTCCAAAAACTGAGGTTAACTTGTTAAATACTAATTAATTAAAATTACCTTCATCACTGCCTTCGGACATTATCGATAATGAATATCTTATTTTAAGTATAAATGGACTTAGGCCACTTTCAAAATAAACGGCTCAATTAAAAAAAAGTGTATGTATTTTTAATAAGAACTATTGTAAGATCCATATTTCTTCGGTTTGTTCCATGTGTCCCATCAATACAAATAATCCTTTTAAGTCTTTTCCATGACACCATTCATATAACCGTCTGCAAAATCTTCATCCTTTAATCAAGGGTAACTTACACCTGAAAATAAAAACCTTCACCATCTACACCTTAACCCTATAAAAATTCTTTATGTTTAAAAGTATTTTTATGCATACCTACCAGTTCTATTGAATAAAATAAATGGTTTTTTCCTTGCCTGTTCCTTTCTTCAATTTTCATAGTAGTAGCTGTCATATCAAAGTTCATTTTTTGGCAATATTATACTTCCTTATTAAATATGCTAAGTCTCCTCTCGTTATCAAGTATATTCTTTCTATTGTATTATTTTGCCTGTCAGAAATTAATTTCAAGAAATTTTACTAATCCTAACAAAAAATATTTATTAATAAAATTAACAAAATGAAAATTATTAAATGAATACTACTAATTACCATTTCTTGAGACTCACTAGAATTCACATTCCTCGGATGGGAATACTCTCGTCCCCCCCAAATTTCATATTTCATACACATGAACTAATAAATACTAAAAATAAATGTATGAAGAACACGTTTAACATGTAAAAGTTGGTACAACCATTAAAATCACTATTACAATTGTGAAATATGCGTTCTTCACCATTATTAACAATAATTATTAACGGTAATTAACTTCCCTATTTTCCTGTGCTCTCCAATTTGTAAATTCTTCAAAATTCCTAAAATTTAAAATGATTCCTTAATAGTTATATCAAGCAAATATATCTTTAAATAATTATTATAATAAGAAAAATTCTCTGTATTGCTACGCATTAGACATATACGTTTATTTTGTTCCTGTGCAGTAGATTCTTAGTGAAATTTCCTGTTTCTGGTATAGATGTTATTGCAAATCCAATTTCACAAAATTCACAAATCATATTTTCTTGTTAATTGCAATTTAATGTTTAGTTTATGTTCAAAATTAAAAATGCTGAAAAGTTACATAGGGGGATATCGCCATAGTGTCATGGCTGTGCTGACGTTATGCGTAGAGTTAGTAGAGTTGGCGCGAAATAAATATCATATGACAGATGCATGTTGCAGTAGTTTGTGAGTCGTTTATAGTGATTTATAAGATATTAAGCAGATATTTGTATTATATTATGTTGTAAACTTTGTTCTCTGTGAGTTGTTGTAGTGAAAAACATTGAAAAATTGTGGTACGGATGTAACAGTAACAATTAAAGGAAAGGATTCAAAAAAGATAGTATAGTTTTTCGCTTTTCTTGACAGTAACAGCCCAAGGGCGGCTCCAGCGGAGGCCCAGGGAAGCATCCAGTTCCCTAAATTAAAATTCTTAAAATCCATGATCCTTTTATTAAAAAAATATGTTAAATAGGCAATTCTACTTCCCAAGAAAATTCAACATAGAGCAGCCCTTGCAGTGGCTGGTGACCCTGCAGATAAATTTTTATATGTATTCCAAGCACTTTCAACCTTCCAATTATAAAAGGGACCTCAAATCAGAACTTCACATAATGTGAAGTTGTGAATGAACCAGTATGAATCACATTGGTTTCTTTCACAACTTGGGACTTCTGAACTGAAGACTCTACCCTTTTCAGGCAAAAAATTTTGCAATATAAGTAAAAGTGAAATTGTAAATGTCACAAAAAAAAAAAGAAAATTTCGACTTGTACTTGATGAATAGGCCTTTTCATCACAATTTTTTTTTGTGCGCATGCGTCAGTATCAGTTATCTTTTTCGTACTGTTTTTTGTAAACAAGCATGTTAAAATGTCCACGTGAAAAAATTATAATCGATAAATAATAATTTTAAGTGTATTCGTTTAAAAAATGGGAGAAAAAAAGTAATAAGTGTCTTAATTGAAAAATCAATTTTTCCAATCAATTAATTATGTTATCTTAACGGAAAGGAAAAACTAAACGGTATTGTTATAAGTATGTAAAAGTGACACACGGTATAAATTATTATTTTATAAAAAGACTTGCCTACAATATCGTAAAAAAACTATCAAATCATTAGGAAAAATACATATTAAATCAAGTTTAAAATGAGTATTATGAGTGAAAAAATGTGGTCGAAGTGACGAAGGTTTTCAATCGATTGATGGATGATGTTACTAAAGATATTTATATTTGATCACTACATTTTCATAGAGAAAGTGGTTCAACAGAAGAAAATCCTTGTCTGGTATTACACAATATTTTTTAATATTAAATACTACTTCGGTATACACAGTAATATTATTAAAAATATCATGTTGATCCTTAAAATTTTAAATAATTTATCTTATTAATTATACTCATGATTAACTTTCATGTTAAAGTGTTTTTGCAATTATTAATAGTTGGTTGGCATAATTAATTAGAATAGAGTTATAATTATTATTTGTTTTTATTAATTTTTTACACAGTTAATATGTATTGAAACCTAACCTCTCAATCATCACACTTTTTTCCTTGTTCCGAACGTCCACGTCATTTCAAGAACCTTTTTAATTGCTCACAACTACGTGCTTCCACAGAGTTATAAAAATGTAAATCACCATCAACGATTTTTTCTAATGATTGATTTGTATGTAGAGATAATATTGCTTTTCCAGCCATTATTGATCAAAACAGTACGAAACTTTTGAATTGGTGCTATTTCAACATGGCGGCTGCGCTTGCGCTCATCACATGATGAAAAGGCCTATGAACTAAAAAACGACTAGGTCCAGGAAAAATGCAGCGACATTTTATTTTAATTTTGTATAGGCACCCACCATATTTTATGTAGCAGTTATTTGTATTTGGTACATTTTTTTATGTTTTGCACATCGAGAATAAAGTAGAGACGACATAAACACTATTTTGCGATAAGACATATGGACGCACTTAGCGATGCTAAGACTAACAGAAAAATGTAATTAAAATAGCGACGTAGACAGAGTAGTACTTTGATTTGAAGTCAGTAATTTTATATTTGAAGATTGTCGGAATCAAAATGTTTAACTAATGTTAAGAAAATATATTAAATGTATTGTTCAAAAAAATTGCTATTAACTCCAACAAATATTTTTTAATTAGAATAAATAATTTTATCTGGGTAAGTTAAAAGTTATTTTTTTTAAATGTTTTATTGTCCTTTAAATAAAACCATCTTATTACTATGGTGTCTTATGCTAATTTTCTTATTTGCCTTATTTTTTGATAAATAGCACATTCTTACATTTAGGTACCTGCTCGCAACACATTTCATTAATAATGTTCTGTGATTATCCAAAACTGACTGATTGAATCCATGTTGTACAAGACTTGAAAATGTGTTTGAAGAAATATATCCTCTAAATACTAACTGAATCAAGATGTCAAGTGAAATCTGTTTTTCAGAAACTAATCTGATTTTTAAAAGCTTTTCACATGTCATACAAATAGCGATAACATCTTCTGATTGGTAATGCATTTGTTTTTATTTTTCATATCTATGAATGAATATATATTAATATTTTTTGTATCACTTATTAGTGCTTGAGAACATTGTCCACAATATATTTTTTTATTTATAGAATGAACAACGTAACCCGCGATGTAAGTAATTACATATTTCGAAAATGGAGTAATACAGGGATCTGGTACATAGCCGTGATCTAATTCGATGGCTTTAATAATTTCCAAGGGATCATTTTCATAATCTTGAACTTGGTTGGAAAATGAATATTCAGTTGATGTTATATTAAGTTGTCTGACTACATCGCACTTTAAAATACTAATCTCCTCTAAGGGTATACAGTTCCCAGGAAAACTTTCACACAACTCTACATTAACGAGTAGCTTTTTATAGGCTGACACAAATTGTCTTACTGTGGGGTTGTTATTATAACCCCCATGTGAACGGATCGAACAAAAAAATAATTCCAAGTTATCCTGGGAGATTTTATATATTGGTAAGAAAGATAAATTGTTTGCACAAGTAAAGAATTAAATAAACATTTAGTACTGTGGATACAGACTTTTAATCCTAAAAATCCCGTATGCCTCCCACTGTCTAATAATAATTGCCCATTGCAATGTGTTTTTAGGCCGTCAATATATTTATCGGCCATATCCAAAAATTGTTGAAATATTGTCAAAATTTTTTGTAGATAGAGGTTTTTTGTAACCAAATTAAAGGAGATTTCTCGAATTTAGAACATCAAATAAATTATTAATTAATTTTACAAACTCAATAGTTGCATTAACATTCTCAAATTCTTTATATCTAAAACCTCTTTACAGAAAAGTAAGGAAGTTGCTACACTTTCACTAAACAACTGTGTTGCGAGCTTTACCTTCATTTTTTGTTGTTTAAATACTATATGTTGTTTCCTCACTTTGTTTGCAAGATGAAAGTTTTCTTCTTATAGCTCTTGCAATTTCATAAAATATCTCCACTCTATCAGTTCATTATCACTGTTCACAAATGAGTACTTATCTGCTAAGGTATTCCTAACTAGTTTGACCATATGTGAAGGATCCAAAAATACCGCCACTTCTTGTTGAGAACTCGGATCAGTAAATGTTGCTTTTAGATTGCGATGATCTAATTTGAAACCTCATCTATTGGCCATGGTTAAATTAGCTGGGCAGCCATCGAATGTCAGACTTATTATATAAACGCCAGCGTCATTACATTTTTTCAAACATTCTAATACTAAGCAAGCCTTTTGCTCCCTAGATACTCCAACTATTAAAAAATAAGCTAAATGTATTTTCCAGTTCCCATTTACACAATTTAGTAAAAAAACAAGAGCCTCTTTAGCTAGGGTTTCTTCCTTTACTCCGGTCCCCATGTCTACAAAACCATAACTCTTTCCCTGACTTGAAACCCACTCATCTGATTGGCGAATAGCCATTTCGTCCATAATTAAAGGCTAATAACTTTTTTCTCGCTTGACCGCACTTTTAAATTTAAAGTTTTGAATGACTCACTGGTAAACCCAGGCTCCCCATGTGTTGAAGGTACGTCGTACATAGTTGTACGCAGTTGGTGAGTAGTAGTGTAAAGTTAAGGAAAATACCTCCTCAGAGTATTGCTTTGGTAAGGATTGATTTTTTTTTTAATTTGCCGAAGATATAATTCTTGTGGTCTGTCAAGCCTAGACAGAATGTGTCCAAATATTCATCTTCTATATATTTTTTCTTTTTAAGGACAGAGATGATTTCTTTTATATCTGCAATTCGTTTTTCTTTACGACGACATTTTTTTCTAATTTGCTCCAGCTTTCGTTTTCTTATCTTGCTTATTGTTTTTGTACATTTTAGTTTTGCCAAAATCTTCTTTTCTCTAGAAGATATCTTCGCAGAAAAATATTTTTCATTTTCTGGAGATCTATCTTTAGAAGTACTAGCAATGGATGCTGAGGTGCTCGGAAGAAGTTTGATGTCATTAGGGGGTCGTAATAACACATTAGATAAAATTCGAATCTTCGCCGGGATTGAAGATTCTTCCTAAAACCATCAGTAAGTTTTAGTTTTGCCCAATTTTCTGACTTTCTTTCTAAACTGTATCTAAATTATAGAATAAATTTTTAAAAATACGAGACCAGAAATATATATAATTTTTCTGGAAAATTGTTCTTGATGTCCAGCAAACTATTATACCATCTTCACTGCTTATTTTTTACTTTACCTTAACGAAAATCGTTAATTAGAAGGTCTTAAACTTTAAAATTTAAACAAATTAACAATAAACTTTTTATCAACTTATTAAAAATGGTGATTTCGCAAGATGGGATTCTTCAATAGTTTATTATTGAAATAACGATGAAAAGCGATATTGAAGGACGTTTTTTGCTTGATGATAAGCACTTAAGATGGCTGAATGCCGAAAGCGCTTTGCTATTTCAATAAAAAAATTGCACGAAATATCAGTTTTCTTTGCTGATCTAAACTGCGTGCACATATGAGTTAACCTCTTTTGGTTCCTTTTAATCGTTTCATGTGACCGACCACATCTGATAAGAGAACTAAACTTTTACCTAATTTAAACTTGGATTCAGCAAAGACGGAATCGCATAATCTTTTAGACGAACAAAATGTACAGAATTTCTATCGAAACAGTTTTCTTCAAAATGTCTAGAGCATAGTACACTATATTTTGAAGGTTTCCAGTCACCTCTATTTACAAATCCAATCCATGAATCCCGCGATACAGAGTTTTTTGGAAATCTATAATTCATGTATAAAGTTCTTTGGAAATCTATAATTCAAGTATTTGTATATTTAGCGTTGTGAAAATTTAAAACTTATTCCTTAACGGTTCCTACAGGAATAGCATAAAATATGATCTTTATAGCCCCAATGATTTATATGGGCATCACTACTGATGTAAAATTATCATTACATTTTTATCAGAATCTAAATTAGCAAGATTGATATACTTATATTATTAGAAAAGTAAATTATGATTAACACACAAACATTGAAACAAAAATTAAGAATACGGTCCTTATAATTGTTTAGAATATGCTTTAGACTTACTTATGAAATGTAATTCCTGCAGTTTTTTTCTTATTAACGCTGTCACTGCTGCAACAGCTTCTTATAGCACAATATGATACCATTATTTAAAATTAAAATAAACAACTTTTTATAAGATTTAAATGTAGCTATTTAAATAAAATGGCGTTATTCTCACCAAAACAGTAATCAAACTGACTATATAGGTCACGTTAGTTTGACACATGACGTAAAAATGTAATGCTTATTGAAAAGTGCGGACACTTTTAGTAACGTCATAGCGTCTCCCCTTTATCCTATCTCAATGGTTTTGCATTATATTATATGAATGTCTGCATTATATTACATGAAAAAAATTTTTTTTTAAACTTTTTTTTATTCAATTGGGTAATATAATGCAGGTAATGAGTAACGAATTACAAATCCTATTCAGGTAAAAATTTTCGGCACACGAAATTGTTACCATAATCCCCAGTTTCGAGTTGCGAAGATACCCTTTATTTCATTATCCTGGTTATAAAAACTATTCTTTAGAAGTCGAATTTGTATAACCAGAATAAATCATTAAAAAAAAGAAAAAAAAAACTGTTCAAAAAAATATTTCTTTTATGTGTGTATTTGCATTTATGTTCCTTCATAGTTCTTTCCAATAATATCATAGATATTTCATGTAATTTCTAAAATATTATCCTTAATATTCATCAAATTTCTGTAAGTAGTATATATTTTCCTCACACTTCGTCAGTATTTTTAAATTCGCGCCTATACAAACTCTACGTGACATCATGTGCGTGGCCGTCCTATTTTTGACACTGTTTATATCCTACCTTTTATTTTTTAAACCATGGAAAAGTTAAATTAATTAGTGAATTTCAAAAACCAATATAAAACTAACCCAACTCAGATGTAGTAAACATTAAAATTATCAATTAAAATTGCTGTTGTATTTATTGTTTTCGACTCTATTATGCACTCAAAGAAATTATACAAACTATAAGTTGTATGATTTAGAATATCGTGAATAAGCGAATATTACCAAACCAACGAAATCTGAAAATCTAAGTTAGGTTAGGTTAAGTTAATTACCATCAAATTACAAATCTCCAACGAAATACGAACTGACACGATACTAAACGAAGAATCATTCGATCGGCTGGAGCATTATGAATTCTGATTGGCTGGGCATGTTTGCATTTTAATGTACGCTCATCAGATTGTAGTATGATTAACGAATTGAGGAAAAATTAGTAGTTATAGCAGACTTTTTATTCACTTTAATGCGATTTAACTTTTCTAATATCGAAAAATATGCAACCACATCGTAGAAGGTTGAACTTAGGTCGTTTTAATATTAATTTTTTTACTTGTTTGAAACCGATGATAAGATACTGTTAAACGGCTTTACCTTTAATTTAAATGCTAAAAATTGATTTTAAAATACCATTTAGTCGATTTAATTTTTGATTTACACATACGGTTTTTATACACAGGGATACCCCTATAATTACAAATATTTTTTCTAAATAAATATACATTTTTTTTGGCGGCTTTTTTTTCATGTTTTGTGTTTTTATTTGTGATTTATTGACTATTTTTTAAAGCTGCATTAGCCGAACCTCTATCTTTTATATCACATGGTTACGATGTCATAGAACCAATACCAGTCGGATCAAAAATTTTGATAACAGGAACTGGAATCATTGGTACTTTATGGGCTTGTGTCTTGCATCTGAAAGGCCACAGAAATGTTACCATATGCGAACCTAATAAGGCTAGATTGGATATTATAAAAAAATTGGGTAAGTATATCCAACCTGCATCAATTATTGCATTATATATACTGATATGGTATGAAATATCCTCAATTTCTAAATTAATAACCTTTTTAATTTCTACTTGGGGTGGGTTCAATTTCTAAAAAAACTTCGTCTTCTGTACTTGTCTTTTCGTTTCTCTGCTTCAGCGCTTTCTCTAACCCGTCAACCTATCTGCTCACCTCCTCTTTGTTTTCTTCTACACCTACTTGCTCGGCTTGGTTTTGTCTTTTAGTCCTTCTGTACTCTTTTCTAAACTCTGCTTGACTATCTGCTCACTTTCCGCTTATTTTTTTGACAATTCCAAACCTCTGCTTCTTGTGCTCCTTCCAAAATATTTTTTTCTGATTTTTTATATTCAGCTTTTTTTAATTTTTTTAAATTATACTCATATGTATATCTATTTTATTTAAAATAATTTGAAAATTCGGAAACAAATCACAAAAATCTTCCTACGTTTTTTTAAGGCCATCCCCGAATCCCAAAGGTGAAAACAAATACTTGGACCGTTTCAAGTGGCCCGTGAGACCGTTTTAAGTGGCCCACGAGACCGTTTCAAGTGGCCCGCGAACAATTGGTCAAATAAACGCAATTGTATTGCTTAATTGAAATATAAAAAAGGAACGATTTTTTAAAATTACCTTTGTAACTTGTTCCAAACTAATAATATTGTTAAAATAAAAATAATAAGGAGACAAGTAAGTTTCGTATTTTCGTTCAATTGTTACTTTACAATAAATTAAAGCAAAATTATTTTGTTGTTTTAAAGGCTGAATGCCATAAGTTGTATTGTCTGATGTGCAGAGGGGTAGAATTGTTCATTTGTGAAACAATGGATGCATCAGTGAGCGTAGTTAAAATTGATGGCATCTCTCAAAACTTATAGAAAGTTTTAAATTTGCTCGAAGAAATCTATATTCTTCGCACCCACAGCTTAGAAGGCAATTTTTAGAAACTACAGAAGTTAGTGTTTAGGTTAAAACCATACGAAAAAAACTCGGAGAGCGAAATATATTTTAGCAGGAAACTAGTTGACCCGAAAAAACAAAATTTATCGACCGACGTGGTATAGAAAATATAAAAACATATTCAGAAGAAACTAGAATCATTTTAAAATCCTATGATCAACGAATTAAAGTTTTAAAAGATCGAGAAAGAGAAGCTCGACTATTCGCGATTCAAGCTAAGTGCTACGCCCTCTGGAGGAAATTTGTAGAAGGTCCCTATAAGTAGGATATCGTTCAGTGTTGCCAGAAGTAGCAAAATTCGCTACGTCGTCGGATTTTAGCTCTGGAAGAAGTGGATAAGACCTTTTATTTAAGAATCAAAATTTGTGTATAGTAATATGTAATCATACTCTATTTATTTAAGGATTTTTTTATAAAACCGATTTATTATATTGATTATTTTTTTAAAATTCAGTTTATTTATTAATTTTAATTTAAAATCAGTTCATCATTTGGCAACATTGGCGTTCATGTTCATTGTTTACATTTTAATTTGTATCAATTACAATTCGAGTTTTTTCTTACTTTTTAGCTTTAAATTTGTTTATTTCTTACAGTATGTGATAGTGTTTATATTAAAAATGAAATCTGCGAAAAAGTTCCCAGCAAATTGCAATCTATATGGTGTTAATATCAAAATCAAAACGAAAGTATTCATTATTTTCTAAGTGCAAGTCCTTATATTTTGTTTTTTACGATAAATGGATATCTACATATTCACCATATTGAAATGTTGCAAAACTTTGCTTAGAATCAAACTGTAATCTGATTTTTTAAAAATAAAATAAAAAAATGGATACTTACCATTCCCGAAAATTCCTTAAAACGTTTTTTGACAAACAGTAGCAGTATATTATAAATATTTATAAATATAAAAAAAAGTTATAAAATATAATTTACATATACAAATATTTAAGTTTTGAATTTTTATCTGTAAGCGCAACTAATGTTTATCCAAATTTCTAATTTGTTTATTTTAATCACTGTTTATTTTGTACAACATTTTCAATTAAGTAAGTTTAATATTTTACTAGTTTCTTAAAAATTAATAAGTATTGTTAATTTTAACACATTTTTAATGTTATGTTAAATATTTTCATTTGGTTAATTTAATTTTATTTAATACTCTAAAAGAGGAAAATATCGCTCGCGCACAGGTTTACCTTTGCGGGTTTCTTTCTTTCTTTTGTTTATTCTAATAAGTTAAATGATGTATTATTTTATTGTAATTATTTATCTGAATAAACTTTATTATTATTATTATTATTATTATTTGTGACGGTTTTATTACCATTTACATGTATACTAAGTACTACATAATTCACTTCATAATATATGAATAAGTCTAGTGAGATTTTTAAATAAGTTCATCAATAATAAACGTTTGGTACCTGGAATGTCCTTTAAACTACATAATAAAACATGCCTTGGGTTTAGTAAATACATATTTCTAGATGTTCTTGTAGCAACCAATAGGTGAATATTTCCAATAAATTAAGTCACATACATGATAAATATTATATTTATGACGAGACTTAAACTTAAATTAACACTAAATGAAACTCAAAAACACTATTACAATGAGAATATTATTTAAAAACAGTTAAAAAATCACAAATACAAAATTCGCCCAAAACAAACACATGTAAATAAACAAACATCCTACTTATAGGTGACAAATGACAGGCGCGCGAAAATTAATTTGAATCGCGAATAGGCAGTGAAATCCGTATCTAGAAATAAGGAAAGGAGTGTGGTGTTTCGAGTAGGCATTATGATTGGACAAAAGACTCCTTTAATTTCTAATAATCAGATCCTAATTGGACAAAGATATGTTGATCTGGTGTTGGAGCCTGTCATAAAACTCTAAAGAGAGGATATAGAAGATCACTTTGTATTTGTGCACTATGATGCCCCTTCATATACGGCAAAAAGAGACACAGAACTCTTTGAATTCGAAGGTATTAATGTAATGGAGTGGCTAGCCTATTTTCCGGACCTCAACACAGAAGAAAACTTGTGGTACAACTCAAAAAAAATAATTAGGCATTATCATGGTGATGTTATAACGACAAATGAACTCATTTGTTTCACCTTAGAACAATGGGAAAACATCCCTCTGGAAAAAAATTACAATTTAATAATTAGAAGCATACCCACAGATATATTTTGAGGCATGCATAAGAGCAGAGGTAAACATACGGACTACTAATAATTACTTTAAATTATTTTTATAAAATTCGTTACATTAAAAAATTACATTACATTTGATTTTAAGCTATTGCATAGTTTTTATCGCGGGCTTTGAGCGCGGCGACCGAATCAAGAAATTCCGTAACGAAAATAAACCTAACACCCCCACTCCGACCGGCACAGCGGTGCGTCGTTGAAAGCCGTGCATCGTCTAACGTCGTTTCAGTTCGGCAGACTTAGGCACGGTGTTTGTGTGCGTGCGACTAGACGTATGCGTGTAGACTAGCTGCTAACTACTCATAACTGATTCTGGGGTCTATTCTGTAACAATTCCTTTATATTTAACGGCCTTTAAAAATATTTTCTTCTTTACTTCTGTCATTATTTAAACAGATCTTTAAAATACATTAGAGGACTATCTTAAAGAAATCTGTTTAAATAATGACAGAAGTAAATTAACGAATACGAACATATTTTTATAGGCCACCAATATTTTTAAAGGCCGTTAAATATAAAGGAATTGTTACAGAATAGACCCCTCTACCTCTGTTAGACACAATTTCGGAAAAATTGAATTTGAAAATGAATAATGATCCACAAGAATCTACAACAAAATATGGGACCACCATTGACGCGGTATTTTCCAGATATTTAGAGGATATCAAGTCTCAAACTTATGTCTCTTATTTCAGTTACCATAAACCCATATTTTCAATGATAAAAATTCCTGAATAACCTACATGTATTTTAAGATAATAAATATATTTTAAACAATATTAACTTCTCATTTATTCAATAAAAGAAAAAAATTGTTTTCTTATCGGTCACCACGCTCAAAAAGTGTAACTTGAATATCAAAGAAAAAAAATACTGCATCAATAAAATAAATAAATAATTATAATTGCATAAGTTGATAAAAAATGCTACGCAATAGCTTTACCGCGGCAGTCTCCGAGTGCCACACGTATTGTTTCTTTATTAGCAAAGATATTTAGAGTACTATTTTAATTTAATTTAATTAAATTTTATGATTTTATGATTATAATTGTTTTTTGTTAGAAAGGGGGTACCTCAGGGGTGGTCCCATATAAATTTGATCAAGATCTAATGATGGGGTTCATCTTCATTTTTCGTGTATTTTCGGCGATAATTCTTTACTACGTTGTCCGATTTCTCTGATTATATTTTTGTAAGGAAGGGGATACCTCAAGGTTAGTTCCATATACAATTGTTCAGGATCTAATGATCTATGAGAAAATAAAAATCTCAATTTTTAAGGAGATCTGCACCATTTTGAAGTCGGTTTTTTAAAATTACTTCTTCTTAGAATAAATAATAAACACAACTTTTTACTTTTAAAAACCATCTCTTATTTTTGACACCCTTTACTATTATGATTTATAATTAAATGAATTTGATATTTTTAATTTCGATTTTTTTTTTTTTCAGAATTGGGTTTTACTTTGTTGACACCTGAAGAGCTGAAAGAAAATCGTACGAAAAATTCGAATTATGCTTTTAATTTTGTTATAGACTGCAGTGGATACGCCCCGATTATAGAATATGGAATAAATTTACTGCAGAAATGTGGTAAACATTGTTGCTTTGGAGTGGCATCACCCGAAGCAGAAATAAAGTAATTTTAAGCTTTTTAATATACAGGGTATACACTATTTTACAGGGACACTATTAGGATTTCGTTATGTAGAAGATATATAAATGCGATTAAATGGGGAAAAACTTGAGTATTTAGGAAGAAAATAAATAGGCATAACCAGAACTAAAAAAAAACACATTCGTATATCTGAAATATTTCAAGTACATTTAACTCTGGTTTTTGCAGTTATAAGAATATCAAAAAATTATAAAGGAATTTTTATTTTATTCGCAAAATACTTTGATAAACTGCCTTCAGTCTTTTCTTTTAACAATGGATCGTTTAAAGTCATTAACAAATTGCATCGTATAAATGCTAATGACCATAATTATTAAATAATATTCTTTAACACCATATGGGTTTAATAAGCTTTTGTCATCAGATCTAATATATCCTTAAACCAATAAATTGACCCGTTATTCCTATATAAGCATGTTCATTCATTACAAATTTCGATTCATCATCTGCTGGATAAATACAGGAATTGAGTACCAGTTGGATTATCCTCGACTCCTTCGTTAATTGGTTTATAATTGAAGTTCAAGCCGTCACCAGCAACGAGAATTAAAATACTTGATGCACACCTTAACAACCCTTTACATGAAGGAGATATTTTCATTTTCTCTTGTGAAAAGAATATCCACCGATTCATAATGAAGGAAGGAAAGCCTTTTGCTGGTTAACCACACTGCCAAAAACAAAATTACATTTGCGGATGTGTAATTGGAACTCAGCGGAGGAAACATAACAAGAACAAATTTTGATGATTTTAAGAGAAAGTATAATTAATAGAGATTGTCAATAATGGAATATGCCCAGAGCCGGTTTATAAACAGGTATGACTTTGAAAATTTTTTGATGATGGTCAACCAAACGCCTCGAATTGTTTGTTTATTACATGGCGCCATGGTGTAAGAATACAGATGAAGGTGTAAGCGATACGAAATTCGGTCTCTCTTGCGCATGATGTCATATTCGAAGTATATCACAATATAGCCTTTTTATTATATTTTTGTTCTAGTGTTATTAACTTATATTTACAATTATCTTAAATTTTATTACTACTACTATACAAGGAGTCCCAAAATTTCGTGTACATAGAGCTCAAAAGAAGCCGATTGAGCCAACATTACCTATATCACAAGTGATTTGTTTGTCTGTGAGGATCAAAGTTAAAAGAAAATTTTAATTTTTTCTTTAATAACCCAAAAACGCTTGGTTCGATTTTTATAAAATTTGGTTTGTAACTATTTTTATTGAAGAACCATTTTTCAAACCTAAAATTACACCAACCGAAATCATGAAAGGGTAAAATTCATCCTAATCCTACCATAAATGTTATCATATTTTTTTGAGGACTGCCTCCGTTTCCTCAATTTTTTTATAGAGATCTGTATTCATTTGTAGCATTTATTGTCTCTTGCAAAAAACATGTATCTCTCATGGTATATGAGTATGGTTAGTGACTTAAAATTTTTGAAGAGAACTAAGTGGGCGGTTATAACTACCGAAACCCGAATGTTGTTGATTTTAACGTTATTACAATATGCATAGGTATCTACTTAAAAATAATAATTCAAAGAATTATATGATCGACAATTAGAAATTCAAAAAAAAAAAAAAATATTGTTGATGGTAGGCCTTGTCATAAGGAAATTGTGAATTAAAAGTATGTTTTATTCAAATATTTGAAACCGATTGCAGTTCATATAAAAAATCTCCAATAAAAAAAGCATTTGTCTGCATGCAGAATAACAGCAGCATAGGTTAACAAAGCTGGCGAAAAAGATAGACAAACTTTTGTCTAACTTTGTTATTATTTCAGGGCAATAGTGACCACAACAAGAACAACCAAAGTTTAGTAATCAAGCAAAATATTTCGGTATCTCCAAATTATAAACTGAATTATAAACTATAATGGGAAACATGTATGGCTTCGAATAAGAAATTAGCCAAATTAGCATGTGAATATTACATTTAAAAATATATTTTTAATCAAAACTTCTGGATTTCTAATTCAATATTAACCGTATACAAATACGTACGTATGCATTTTATAGTATTAAGTAAGATTCGTATCAAATGTACCCACAAATGATAAGCATTATTAAATAAAAATAAACCAATTTCAAATAACACCTATTTTGTATTTAAATAAAACTTTAAATATATGTTCTTATTAAATTCATAAATTAGTCTCGACCATACATTTTTTGTTTTTGCTTCTGGTGGCGAAATCTATATTTAAAAGTCTTTAAGTTGGCGATAACTAATTTCTCCTTAATAATGGCTTTGCATTTATCAACATTTGACAGCACTTTGTTTATATTAGACATCTATCTAGTTCTTAATTGAATCACACCTCTTTCTAACATTTAAATCAATTAATTGCATTTTCATATTCAACTTATATATTTTCAATATTCTTATTGGTACTAAGCCACTTAAAAATGTTGAAAGAGAATGTCATAAAGGTAAAATTTCTTCTTCTATGGTGTTGTCCATGCCTTTTAGGTTGTAAACGTTTTGTAACACCTTTTTCACAATTTATTTGAAGCAACACTATGAAAGATTTAAATTCTGGATTTACAGCATTCAGTTTTGAGAATTATGAGAGGAGTGCAGTCACAATGCAATTTCAGAGATAATTTTCACATGAACACTTATTTACCCCAACACAAATGCATGTACCTATTCATGTAACATAAAAATAAAGTGGAAATAAATTGCATAATTTGGTATACAAAATGGCCCAAAATTTGTTTAGATTTTATTCCACTACGAGAAAAACAGTGGTTCATTCCACTTGTATCATATTGACATTATTGAGCACATTAAAAGTAGATCTGTCTCTATTTTTATAATACTATTACTGCAGGACAAACGGTAACCATGGATTTCGCCAAACGAACGTCAGCTAACTTAAGTTAACTACTATTTCCTTTAGCCTGACTACTATTTCCCCCCTAGCCTCAGTCACCCCCTCATCTTTAACATGGGTCTATGTGGCGACCCTTTTAGATATACCAGCCCTGATACCTACCTAGTTATTTTTATCTCAGTTATAAGAAAAATTGGATATAATAGCATTTCGGATTTAATTTTCTATATTTCTTTAATATCTATAAGTACATTCGAATAAAAAATTATATATGAAAGACGGACGAAAACCTTTTTTTCGGACTTCTACGAGTTCCCAGACTTGACTACGTTTCGCCTGGAAAACTTCTCGTAGTTGCTCGAAAAACTCAACTTTTCGTCCTCATAACATAAACATTAAACATTAATATTGTAAATAAAATAAAATATTTTTATAGTTTTTTGATATACTTATAACTGCAAAAACTAGAACTAAAAAATTATGTGAAATATTTCACATATTACGATTCTTGATTTTTTAGTTCTGGTTATGCCAGTTTCTTTTCATCATAAAGACGCAACTTTTTTATTATTTTAAACACATCTCTATATTTTCCAGAGTTGCTAATTGTAGAGTATCTGTGTGTGGTTTCAATTATGAGAATGTGAAGAGTTGTCTTTCCAATTTTGTCAGATACTTATACTAAACCCAGTATTGACGAATTCGGAAAAGCAAAAATTTGCAGAAATATACAGGATACCCCATTTAAAATAAAGATATTGAAGGTTGTAACGTTTAAATTTGGCCTTATAGCGGTTTTTCATAAAAATAAGAATACACTAGTTTTTATCCGTGTTCAATAATTATTTAATGGGTCCTTCTATACCCGCATTTTTAACCACTGTGCTTTTGGTTCGATATTCGAACAGAACGGTCCTTCTGTGACACTCTGGTTGAGCCTGTGACTGCCCTGTATTCAAGATGTCGGTCTAGCGTTTCCGCTCTGATGTTAAGTGCGAGTATACAATCAGTTTGGGGTAGATTGGACGTCTATTTGAGTTTAGTTAGGCTATTTATTTGGTTTTAGAGGTTTGTTTGGTTATTTTAGCCCTCTCTGTCAAGAATTTATTTCGTAATAGAGGGCGCTGATGGGACACCTATCTGTCACTGAGGTATGTTGGTATTACTGTTTTTTTTAAGTGACGTTGGTTTCCGCCTTTTGGAAATTTTCGAGATTGACATTCGACACGAGGTTCATATTAGGCACGTGAATTTGAAAGGTACTGTTTTCGAAATTTATTGGAAGTCGTTTCAATCCATTTGGGATATTACGAAGCAACCTTTTTATTTTAAGTTACAACAGTGTGGATTTAGTAGTATTTTTTGGTGATCACATGTTGTAGGAGCTCTTAGGAGGATATATTTAACCACGTGTTGAATCTCATTGGTGAGTTTTCTTCTACACAGTATTTTACAGTAACGACGTAGTTATTCTTTTTTCTTCGTTCTTTTATTTCAGTGCCCACATATATTTGTAGTCTTTCTGAATGAGCCGTTCACGAGTTTGCCGTTCAAGCTGATCTGGTGCATAGTTTTTGTCCCTTTTTTTTTTAGCTGTAAAAAAGGTAAATAGGCTTTGATTTTAGTTAGAATGCTTACTTAGACCTAACCTAGGTTACGTTATTTTCGTTGTATATATTTTCAGTATATGGGATGAACTATTAGGGGTAGTATTTTGAAATCTAAAGGTGTAATTTGCTTGTTAAATGTAAATGTTGGGTAGAACTCGCTTCACGAGCCGTCTATCTTTTTGCTTTGTAAATCTGAAGATTACCTACATAAATTAATAAGCCGAACTTAATTTAACTAGTAAACGTTGACTAGTTTTACCTATTTCTAGACCTCGCTTCACGAGAAGGCTATGTAGGTACCTGGTTATTTAATTTTAACTTCTTATTAACCAGGGATAAATAGTTATTTCTGTGTTTTATCTTACACGTTTTCTTTAGTGTTCTTGTGACGGGCACACACTTCTTGTGACGGGCTGATACTTCTTGTGACGGGCTATCAACTCTTGTGAAAGCCAACACTTCTTGGTACGGGCCAGTAGTCCTCGTGAAGGGCCAACACTTCTCGTGACGGGCCAGTATTCTTGTGACGGGCTGACTAGCACATCTTGTGACCAGCTGATTGATTCGTATGCTGCTAACGATGCAGAGACATCAACGTCTACTGGAAAGAAGTCACTGTGTACCGCAAGTTTTTGCTATCTTATTTTTTAATATCACTTATTACTATTTAATCTATTTTATTGGGGGGTGTTATTAGTACGTGTTTTAATCTAAACCTAATGCAAACGAGGTTTAGAGGTTTACAGTACATTTTTATTAAACCCGAAACACGTCATCAAGAGCTCTTCGTGGGTTATATTATTTATGGGTAATTAATATTTTTATTAAGTAACAGTATTTTACTTGTTTTTACCCCTAGCGTCCGTAAATAGTACCCTATTATTTGTTTATTTGTTAAATACAGTACACACCTCATGTGTTATAGTTTTACGATTACCCCTAGTCCCATTTAATGATTTTTAAGTCTAATATAGCGTTTTAGTTGTAAATATTACTCCCAGTGATACTGGATTACTGTTAATAGTTAGGGAATCTGATAGTAATGTACTAAGTGATTCAGTTGTTATTAATTTGGTAAATATTAGTATATTTCATAGTGTGAGCGAAGTTGACCCCCATGTCAACACGATTTAAATTTATTATTATTAAACTTTGGTATATATAATAATAATAATAGTTTATTTTGCATTTACGGTGTACAATAGAATTACATCAATAAAAAAAAAATAATTACGCAAATATAAAAAGAGAACTTTACTTATTCTTTATCCCACTTGCTAATTGTCTGTTTGATTTTATAAACATCTGGTTGAGCATTTATTTTTATGGTAAAGTACACTTATAATATAATAGGAGCATACTCGATTTGTAGCCGCTTGATGGCCTTGTAGATGAGATGCTATAGTTTCCTATTTGGAGTTTGGTAGTTAAACTCCTGGCGCCCACTGAAGAACATAACATTTTCTACGACTCACCCCCTTCTTCACTGTTGTTAGTCGGCATCCAACTTTGGATTGTCATAAAACCCACCTCGGTGCTTAGGCACAGAAAGTAGGTAGCAAGGTACTTCCGGTTGAATAGAATGTACAGTACAATAACAAAACTTGCATTTAAATATATTATGAGTTATTACAGCAAACTGCAAAATTTAATCAATATATCATCGGTTTAGTTTTAAAACTATTTTCTTGGTGCCATACTTTATACCAACCCTGTATATTAACATTGAGTTTGTTATGGGCCTTAAAATTGTAACATAGTAGATAGCTTGTGTTTTATTTATTATATTTTTATCGCTATAACACGGGTCTATTTCATTTTCAGAATCAATCCATTTAAAATGTTCTTCAATGAATGGACTATAGTCGGATCAAAAATTAACCCTTACAGCTTTCCCAAAGCGCTTGGATTGCTTGAAGCAATGAGTGACAGGTAAAAATGGCTTTATTTGTTGATTATAACATTATATTATTTATAACTGTTTTAGGTACGTTGACTTTCAAAAAATGGGCATAAAAATTTACAAGTTGGATGAATATGCAAAAGCTTTTAGTGAATTAATAAATGGGACTGTTTTGAAGGTAGTTTTTCAATTCAAATAAGTTATAATTTTGACATTATTAAAACATGAATAATAATGAAAACATCTGAAAATAAATATTTAAAAAGGACAAACTTTGTTTATTTAATGCAAACTAGTTATATAACAGTAAATATAATAGTTATTTATGTATCAAGGGCGTAAAACGGGCGTTTATGGACCGCAACGTGTAAGTAAGAGCCCGAGCCGCTAGGCGAGGGCTATTAACACGTAAGGTCCATAATCGCTGTTTACGCCCGAAATACATACAATATTTTATGCACGACCGTTTTAATAGTCATTTATTAATAAATATACAAAATTTTATGCACGACCGTATTAATGATAGTTTATTAATAAATATGTTTTATTTTCTATTTTTCACCTTTTGTGAGTAGGTTATTATAAATGTTTCAAGTTAGATAAATTTTATACCTCGATATTATTATAACTCACCCTGTATAACAATCTACCAAATCATTTGTATAGTTAAATAAAAATAAGTCTTATTGAAACTAATAAGATGATAAAATAACAATAATCTATATACCTATACGCGTTACCATAGCAACCAAGTCAATAGGACAAGAATAGGTAGACGCCATTTTTATTTACAGTTGACTTCACGTATTGTAAGTTTCTTAGTATATTTTCGAAGCAGTTTTATATATTTTGTTTATGTAATGGACAGTAGTGACGATGAAATAGTTTCCGGAATACCACCGGAAATTTTTAAAGCAGCAGAAGATGCAAAATTAAGTTTACTACCCGCCAAATCTAAGAGAATATACGATAAGGTCTACGATGAATTTGTTAGCTGGTGCAAATTGAAGAATGTTATAGACGGTAACTATACAGAAAATGTATTTCTTGCATTTTTTCTGGAAAAGTCCAAATGCCGTAAGCCGTCGTCTCTATGGTCATATTATTCGATGTTAAAAGCAACTGTAAATTTGCACAATAATATAAACATCGCTAGATATTCAAGATTGATAACATTCTTAAAACGGAAATCAGACGGTTATAAACCAAAAAAATCAAAAATTCTAACCAGAGAAGAAATAGAATTATTTTTAGTAGATGCTCCAGATAATTTATATCTTATGATAAAAGTAAGTTAATTGTTTTTTTTTTATTTTAGACTTTTATGTTAATATGATTATTTATTGTAGGATGCACTAATTTTTGGTATTTATGGAGCATGTCGTCGAGAGGAATTAGCTAATATTTCAATAGACGATATTCAAGATTTAGGAACAACCTTATTGGTAACCATACGAGCATCTAAAATTAAAATTGACCGCATTTTCAGTGTGATTGACAAAGAGCAGGAATCACCAAGTTATCTCGACTTATATCGAAAATATGCTTCACTAAGTACGACAAATACCAACCACGGACTTTTTTTTGTGTATTATTGTAATGGAAAATGTTCCAGTCAGGTGGTTGGAAAGAATACATTTGGTCAAATTCCTTTTAAAATAGCAACTTATTTAAAATTGCCTACTCCAAAAGACTACACAGGCCATTGTTTTAGACGATCTTCAGCAACTTTGTTAGCTAATGCAGGTGAGGATATCCTTAACATAAAACGACATGCTGGTTGGAAGTCTACAACGGTGGCAGAAGGTTATATTGAAGATTCTGTGGCAAATAAAATGAAAATCGCCAAAAAAATTGTCAATGCTGATATGCCTTCTACTAGTCGCACAGCTGAATTTTCAAATTTACATACCGATTCTTTTGAGAATACACCTTCCAGCAGTAACCCAAATCATACGGAGTTAGTAGAAGTTCGTAGCAACTTACAACAGAGCAAGGTAGCAAATCCTAACATTTCTATAAGTAATTGTTCAAATTGTGGTATTAGTATAAAATTATAAGTGTGAGGATCTTATGTTTGGGCTTTTAAAGTTATAATTTCTTTATTAAACTCATATTTTGTTAATTGTACCAAATATTCCCATGATAATAAATAATAATAATAAAGTTTGTTTTACTAACTACATGTGAATTTTTAAAAGAAAAAAAAGAAAGTTACTTTACCGCCCGGCGGGCGGTAAAGTAGTCCGCGGGCGGTAAAGTAGTCCGCGGGCGGTAAAGTGACACTTTACGCCCGCTAAACGTATTTATAATCTGGACTTTATCGCCCGGTCGTGCATAATAGTTATTTATGTATCAAGGGAGTAAAACAGGCGTTTATGGATAGCAACGTGTAAGTAAGAGCCCGAGCTGCTAAGCGAGGGCTATTAACACGTAATGATAATTTATTAACAAATATATAAAATTTTATATACGACCGTTTTAATGATCGTTTATTAATAAATAGCTATTGTTTTATTAACTAGATGTAAATTTTTAAAAGAAATAAAAAAATAATTATTAAACATCCACTTTCTATTGATTAATGTAAGTGGTAACTCATGCAGTAAGTTTTTTTTATTACTCAATTATTTCTTTCATTACTCAATTATTTTTAACCATTACCTAATTATTTTCAACAAAATTCGACCACAACTACAACCTACACGGAAACCCAGTTGATTAGTAGAAATATAACTACTACTGTTGAGTTGGATTCAGGAGCTTCTGTTAATTTTCAAAATTGTTCTAATTTCACAATCAATAATGGAAAAAATAAATGAAATAAAATATTGCATAATTCTTTTATATTATTTAATTTAATAACCATAGAAAAAGTATAGTATTCTACTCGCGACGGATGATTATACTACACACCTGCGGCGCGTAGTGCAAACTTCATACTCGTGATTAATAGATATCATTACCCGCTCGATAAATAATAAACTATTACTTTATTGCCCAGCGGGCGATAAAGTAGTCCGCGGGAGGTAAAGGGGCACTTTACGCTCATAATACTATGTGAGTACATGATTGAAAAATAGGTATTTCGGGGTACAAATAGACACAAATCTGCCTGCAACATTTTTTACTTGTTTAATTTAGTAAATATTCATCTAGATTAGAAATTGTTTATGCTGATATGGACATTTTTCCTGGCTTATATTCATTTAATGTCCTTTCAACCCTATTTTAATGATTTTTTTTGGTACATACATGGCACAGCTCCATATCATTTGCAGTCTTAAAATTACATACATTAAATATTGATATCTGATTTGTAAAAATATATAAATTATGAAACTGAAAATTTATTTCTAGTAGGTTTCTTTTACTCGTTTATCTAGATCATTTAAGACCACCGTATCAAAGTCTAGACTCTTAACACACACAAACATAGGACTAATGAATAATAATGATAATAAAAATGACTTCGATGCATCATGGTGGCGGGATACAATTATGCATTTGAAAACCTCATAAATTCTCTAATTGCTTCACAATAATATAATTTAAGTGGGTGTGAGATTCTGGAAGTAGAAACACATTTGCTTAACAATTGGGCAATAAAAAGAACTAAGCGATAATTATTTACTCTCTGAGAACTTAAACCACTGTCAATTTTATTACTAACGCAAGTTTTCGTTAGAAAACCTTTGCAAATTTTTAAGTATGCAGGGTGCTTCAAAGTGAAATATACATACTTTAATCGTAGGTGCGGGACACTCATTATTAATTGGTCTACCTAGATACATGTCCTCGAGTTTAAAATATCCCGATTTTAAATGTACCAACTACCAACTCTGTAGGTATAAATTTTGAATAAAAAATAATTTTAATAGGTGCAGAAAATAAATATCTAAGGTTTATTATATATTGTATATACCTACTTGCAATAAAAACAATAAAAATGATTATATGAAGTCGTAATAATGTGAAGTTTGGACGACTTTTTATTTTTGTTTTACCACAGTAACTCATCATCAAAAGATGGGATTTAAAACAACAACAAATTATCTCCTTAGTATAGTGCCTATAGAATGGGTAAAAAATATTTTTTTTTTTTTTGAAAATATATCGAGAATGTCATTCAGGGTGACAAAAAAAAATTTAGTGAAAATTTGAGCCCTTTATATTAATTTTAAGAGGTATGTCATCGCTATTTTTGATTTTTAGTCATAATTTGATGTTTTACGTTAGAAGTGTCAAAACATTAAAGTGAAAAAATTCCTTTTCACTTATTTTTATATTAAATTAAATGCTCTACAAAAAATTTAAATTTTTTCTTTGATTTTAGTCGTGAATAACTTTTGAAGAATTAAATTTAGGCAAAAATTTTAAGAAAACTTTTTTGTAGAACATTAAATTTTCTTTAAGAATCCGACGTGATCTTTTTTAAATATTCATTGATTCATTACTTACAAAATTTCAAAATAAAAAAGACAAATCGAAAAAACACATCGATCTATTAAGCTCAATTACTCGGAACCGGCTTATCTGACGAAAATTTTCAATCATACCTTTTTTGTAGAGAATTTAATTTGATATAAAAATAAGTGAAAAGGAATTTTTTGCACTTAAATGTTTTGACAGTTCTAACGTAAAACATCAAATTATGAATAAAAATCAAAAATAGCGATGATAGACATCTTAAAATTAATATTAAGGGCTCAAACTTTCACGAAATTTTTTTTTTCATCCTGAATGACATTCTCGATATATTCTTCAAAAAAAAAGGTAATTTTTTTTGGCCCAGTCTAATAGTGCCCATCACGACATGATATCAAAGATGATCAATCTTTTGAGTTCCTGAACAGTCATGGTCATAATTTCATAATTGATTGTCAAAATACTGATGGTATATAATATATCGACCATTAAAAAAGCTGTGTACAACAACAAATAGTTTTATAAAATTGGTAAAATATGAGTATAAACCATCCATATAAATTATTTTCAATTTACATAAATGATTACTATTTCATATAAATATCAAGTCTTAGTTTGTTTAAAGATTCATGAACTTAAAAAATAGCTCTTTTTCTACGATCACTGTCCAAAGTAGGCTTTTGCACGTTTAAATCTAACTAGAAAGTTGACGTTTTTCACGAGTTGTCATACTTTAACATTATTGGCGTACACGTGCGCCAAAATACCTTT